TGCAACGCCACACTTGAAAAAAAAGGCCACCACATCCCTCAAAACAGGAAATTCCGTTTGATACGGCTCTCACACTGAAACGATTCATGAGGCGCCTAAAAATCGTCTCAATTCTGTTTGATACGGCTCTTGTAATGGACGATCAAGCATGCGGGGCATTGCGTGAACTCACCTGTCCGGGCCATTTGGACTGGGCAAATTGAAGGATTGTCTTGTCTGCTGCGAAGAGAATGAAGTGGCGGCTCAGACCCACCCGCTCCAGATGCAGCACCCAGTTCTCCAGCATGTCCTCGAACCCTGCAGTGGCACAGTGATGATGTGGTGATAGGGTAACAGTGATTTTAACGCCCTCATGTGCGACCCAATGCCTCCAGATGCAGCACCCAGTTCTCCAGCATGTCCTCAAAACCTGCAGTGACACAGTGATGGATGGGGTAAAAGGGTAAAAGGGTAACAGGGTAACAGTAGACCAGCGCGTTCAGATGCAGCACCCAATTCTCCAGCATGTCCTCGAAGACTGGGTGTCCCAGGGCGACAGGGAAAGAGGGTAACAGGGTAAGTAACAGTGAGCTGAACGCCCTCACATGCAGCACCCAGTTCTCCAGCATGTCCTCGAAACCTGGTCGCCCCACGGCGACAGACAAGGAATGAGGGTAACAGGGTAGGTAACAGGGTAATAGTGAACTTGACGCCCTCTGCTGCAACCCAACGCCTTCAGATGCAGCACCTAGTTTTCCAGCATGCCCTCGAAACCTGGGCGCCCCAGTGGCATCGTGGCACAGTGTGGGGAGTCAGCAATACAGTTACACGGTCTGGATGCAGCATGCACGACTCAACGTTTCACCCAGCGACAGGGTAACAGGGTAACAACACGAAGAAAAACCAGTGAGGAGGGAAACAGGCGAGAAGTTATCGGTTCTTCAGCATGCCTCGCGGGCCGGAAGGAGGGGTAGCATGGGAAGGGGAATACGGTAACCTGGTAACAGAATACTGGGGGAATGGCGGGCAGGAGAATGTAGCGAACCATCATCGGCGCACCTGCATTGGACAACGCGATAATGATGGTCCCGTTAAGCGAGAGGCGGCTGGCCATGTCCCAGAGCGCGCCGAGCTTCTCATGAAGCTCGCCGAGGCCGTCGTCTTCCGTTAGGCGACGACGGACTGGTTCGCGAAGGGATTCGCGAGAAGGTTTGGCGAAGGAGAAGGCGACGAAACGGGTGCTGAGAAGAAGTATGAGGAGGACGAGAGAGGAACGGAAGAGGCGTTGACAGGAAAAAAGGGAGGTTAACGAGGAGATTCCTCGCACACGTGGCGGCTTTTCTGTGGCTGGAAAATCCATCGCTAGCAACACTTGTCACCGGATGATCGCAAAACGTAGCGCCGCGAATTACTGGCCCTAGTTTTATGTCGTGAACATTATGTTGTGCGTGAACGAGGTGTCTGGAATGGAAACCCATTGCTGCTGGGTGTGGACTCAAGTAGGCACTGCCTGTGTCAAAACTCAAAGCTAAGGCTGAATCATCATTATTCCAAGAAACGTTGGCCGGCAAATCCCAGAGACACTTCTGGGTGGGGAAGGGAGGATAGTAAGGAGGATGCCGCACAGTGAACTCCGATCCCATGGTTCCCCCTTTTGCCCGCACTGTAGTGAGAACTGTAGCCCAATCGCGAAGCACCGGGGCGCAAAAATGGATTACGACGACTTGTTCTGCGCGAATTGAACTTCTCGGCTCGGCTGCGAAGTCCATTTGGAGTTACCGAAGGAACTTGAGAAATTCCAGGGTGGGCGGAATGGTGACGACATTCTGGATGTCCACCCAGCTATCGCGAACCCTCCACACCAGTTGACGAGTGTTTGTGACAGTTCAATGTACTGTATCTAGTTAGGGCGTGCTACATTTCTTATTTGTTTTTTTTTCCAAACGGACCGGACCGTCTGAACGGCTAAAATCGTTTTTTTGTTAAACGCTCTGTTCAAGTGGGTCTCAGTTTGTTGCAGAGCGGTTTTGTCCGGACCGTACGTAAAAATCGAAAGTGTAACACGCCCTTACAATTCGCCACTTCAGACGGTTCGGAAATCGGTGTGCACACATGTTTCACATCCGCAACTGTACAGAGTGGAATAATTTGGCATGGGTTCAGTGCGGTGGCGAGCCACCTTGAGAGACCCACTTGCCACGCCATAAGGAGGTGTCCAGCTCGTACATTTAGTGTTCGTAAACCCGCTCAGTTACCACATTATTGAACGTGTCCTGCGGACACAATCTGCTTTCGTTCACAAGACGGCACGCCCCCTGCACGTACCTCGAGTCGTCTGACTCACGTTACTGGAATCAGCGGGGATACGAACAAGGGTACAGCACCGCGTCTTGTCCACTACAGTAGTGCCCTCTGTGTCGCTTGCACAATTTCGCCAGTAGCTGGCTACACTCGCCAACACCCCCCCGCCTGCCCAAAAATTCGTTAGATATGATTGACGAGGGAAACTGTTACCTCGTTTCGAACGCGATCAGAGCACTGTTGATTCGTGTGGCGGGGAACGTGTCCGCGCTCCTGAAGCTACAGTACGTGGGACTCAACTCTCAATACATTCGTTTTTAGGTACAGTGAAATTTCCTGAACCTCGAGACGTGTGTCGGCACTTAAAAACCCGAAATGAACGAACTGGACACGCCCTAATTGACCGTTGGTGATCTGCTCGTGCTTATCTGGCTGGTCGACTTGAGCAACAGCGACCAGCCGCCAGTCACGGCGAACGTCAGGAAATTTGATGCTTGCCATCGTTGTCATCTAAAGCGAAATTTGTTACGAGCCTCGCTGCGCGCTTCCCCCACGAGCTAACCGTCCCATACGCGTTACCGCGAACAGTTGATGCGCCCGTTGTAGTAAAACCGCACTCGAGGCTGAGATAGAAGTCGCGAAGGGACTCCCTACGGCCACACGGTTCAGTATACGAACAGATTGCTAAGACGAAGTTTAGGCTCCACACGAATGTCGCCAGCTCAAGGACGTCGGCGCACTTCATTCGCGTCGCAGGTGTTTCCTGAGATTGCTCAGGTGACTTTTGAGTCGACTCAAAAGTCACCTGAAAAAGCACCTGCAACAGAATGGACTCAAAGGCGACAAGCGCGCGCTTCGTTCGCGCCGAAACTCTTTACACGACGGTTGACACGTATCGGGGTTGACCCTTCAACCATACAAGTTCCCTTACGTGCGCTGAGATCGTCGCCGTTCTCCTGTCAACGCCTCTTCCGTTCCTCTCTCGTCGTCCTCCTCGCAACTCTTTTCGGCAGCCATTTCGTCGCAGGCTCTTTTGCCGAACCTCTTCGCGAATCTATTCGCGAACCCCTTCGCGAACCAGTCCATCGTCGCCTGGCAGGAGTCGGCCTGAGCGATCTTCATGACAAGCTCGGCGCGCTATGGGACATGGCCAGCCGCGTCTCGCTTAACGGAACTGTCATTATCGCGTCCTCGAATGCAGGTATGCCCTAGAATGTCGTTTGGGTGAGAGGTTTAGAAAACCCCTCGTACGGCCCTTGTTCCAAGGATATGACGATTGCTGGAACTGGAGAGTTTTTGCCTTCCCCTGTCTTCTGCTCTGCGTGTTACGGGGTTACCAGGTATGATGTATCCTTGGTGGAATCATGCAGGTTTAACATATGAGGAAACTTTCATCCTCTGTTCTCCTGTTGCTCATTATTTAACTGCTTTATTTACTATGTACCTTGTTACCCTGGTGTCCTGTTACTCTGTTACTCTGCTACCCTGTTACCGTGTTACTCTGTTATGCCATCATTTTTTCACTGGTGACTTGACGAGGCCACACTGGAAACGGGCGTTGCACCTGGAAGCGTTGAGTCGCCCCTCCCCTCCCCCTGCCATGTTACCTTTCTCCCACACTTCCCTGCTACCCATATTCCTCTTTTACATTGTTACCCTGACACCATGTGACCCGGTTACCCTTCGCCCTGTTACCCTGTCATCCAGTTACCCTGTTGCCATGCCATCGGGCTGGCACGCAGGCTACGAGGACATGCTGGAAAACTGGGTGTTGCATCTGAAGACGTTGATTTTAGTGTGAACCTGTTACCCTGTTACCCTGTCACTGTGCCGCTCTGTGCCACCGGGGGCTGGCATGCAGGCCTCAGGGACTTGCTGGAGAACTGGGTGCACTGAATTGATCACCAGTCCCCTTTCACCCGTCACTGTGCAACTGCTGCAGGCGACGAGGGCATGCTGCTGGAGGGCTGGGTGCTTCATCTGGAGGTGCTGAGTCCACTGTTAGTTACCCTGTTACCCAATTACCCTGTTACCCTCTTACCCATCCCTGTACCACTGCAGGGTTCGAGGACATGCTGGAGAACTGGGTGCTGCATCTGGAGCGGGTGGGTCTGGGACGCCACTTCATAGTCTTTGCTGCTGACAGCAAGAGCCTCGAATTCGCCCACTCCAAATGGCCTGGCCAGGTGAGTCGCTGAGTTGAGACGCCTTGCCTTCAATAAGTGGTAACTGGTTACTGCTGGTTACTGGTAGCTAGTAACTGGACACCAAGACGGTTCAGGTTTGATTTGCGCAGCTCCGGTTTGAGGGATAGACATGGCAGGGTAAATGCATCTGGAGCGGGTGGGTGGGTCTGGGACGCCACTTCATAGTCTCTGCTGCGGACAGCAAGAGCCTCGAATTCGCCCACTCCAAATGGCCTGGCCAGGTGAGTCGCTGAGTTGAGACTCCAAGTTTGCGGGACAGCACAGCACCGAACAGGTCAATTGCCTTTCTCATTCATGGCCTTTCTCTTCTACCACCCACCCACCCTCGTGATTGAAGAAGGGTTTTGAGACGTCTCAAAACCCTTCTTCAAGCACAGCACCGAACGAACAGGTCAATTGCCTTTCTCGTTCATGACCTTCTCTTATACCACCCACCCTCTTCATTCCCTCCCCATCTTGGAGTCGTTTGTTTTTTACATTTCAAATCCATCCTTTCTCCCACTGCTTCCTGCCATGCCTTTTTCTGCGCGAGAGGGTGGCGGTGGAGGAGGTAAGGGGAAGGGCCATGACATCACGCCTTTTGAGAATTCTCAAAAGTGATCCCCAAAGAGGGGAAGGGCCATTACATCACGCCCGGCACAACCCCCCATGCCACCCGTCCATCCCCCGTACGTACCCTCCTCTCTCGCCCCTCCCCCCATCCCTGCAGGCCATTTATCTCAATCTGAGTGTGCAGTTTGGCAGCGAGGAGAGGGCAGACGTGGAGGGAGGGGGCATCACGCTTCAAGTTGGCACACCCCTCCACCGCATTCCACCCCTCCCCACTCCTGCAGGCCATTCATCTCGACCTGAGCGGGCAATTTGGTCAGGAGGAGAGGGCGGACGTGGAGGGCGCATCGGTCATTGGAACAGCAGCCTTCCACCGGGTGGCATCCCACCGCGCCATCTACATCCACCATCTGCTCTCCTTCGGCTTCTCGGTCCTCTACAGCGACATTGACATCGCCTTTCTGCACAACCCCCTCCCCTTCTTCCAAAAACCTGACTCTAGCGGCAGCAGCAGTGGCAGCAGTAGCGGCGACATTAAACCTGGCCCTAGCTTAGGTGCATCTGCTGCGGCTGCCGAAACTATCACCGATTTCGACATGTTCCTCACCCACGACCGCTACATGAAGCAGCCCTCGCCCTACATCGACCCCATCGACCCCACGTTCATCAACGGCCAGCCCCTCTTCTGCAGCTGCTTCCTCTTCTTCCGCCCCACTCTCCCGGCAAAGAGCCTCGTAGGCAACTGGGCGTTTCGGATGGCAAAGCTAGGCCGGCAGGGGGGTCTAGACCAAGACCAGCTGAATCTAGTCATGCAGTGGATGCTTGAGCGGAAGGTGCTTCCGAGGATAGGAGTGCTGCCGCCGCTGCAGTTCCCGTCCGGGCAGCTGATGAAGGATCACTGGGGGCGGTTTGAGGAGGTGCGGCCGAGAGTGGTGATGGTGCACGCGAATTATCTCACTGGGAAGGTTGCGAAGATCAAGGGGTTGAAGAAGGCGGGGCTGTGGCGGGTGAAGGTGAAAGAGCAGGGGAATGCGACTGCTGCTGCTGGTGCTGCTGCCTCTAGGGCTCCTGCTGCTGCGGCGGCTGGGAAGGGGAAAGGAGATAGTGACAAGGAGGCAGGGGTAGTAGAAGGCAATGAGGAAGAAGAGGAGAAGGAGGATGAGGAGGAAGAGGAGGAGCCGGTGCTGCTGTTCCCAATGCCCCGGCGGCCAGATGAGGCTGGAGAGGTGGACAGTCTTGACGAGACCCCTGGGATGCTGGAGAGGGGGAGAGAGGAGGGCCGCGCAGGGGGGAAGGGCAAGGTGGGGGAGGCCCGGGTGGGGGAGCCGCTGGCAGGAGGAGGGGGAGAGGGAGGGGGAGCGTCAGGGGGAAGTGGTGGGGAGGGAGGGGGGGATTGGGAGGCGGAGGTGTTGGGAGCGGTGGAGCCGTGGGTAGGGGAGCATCTTGGGGAGATGGAGGAGAAGGGGATGAGGATCAAGGGGGCTGCTGGCATGGTGATCGTCACTGTTGCCTGCGATGGTGCGTTGCTTTCCTTTGGTCAGGAAGGTGATTTCTGGATTGATGCAGCGTGCATGTGTGGGGGAGCATGTGGGGAAGGTGCAGGAAGGGGGGATGCGCATCAAGGGGGGCTGCTGGCGTGGTGATCGTCACTGTCGCCTGCGATGGTGCGTTCTTGTTGTTCGAGAGTTGGTCTCTGGATTGATGCAGCATGCAAGGGTGGGTGGGGGAGCATTTTGAGGGAGGTGGAGGAGATGGGGACGGGGATCGAGTGGTGGGCGGTTGTGATTTTTTGGGTGACTAAAAAAAGGCGCCTAAAAAAAGGCGCACTGGTTCACCCACGTGGGCCACATGCATGATTCCCCATCGTGCCCTCCCCACCCCCTCCCCCCACCACAGGCCAGGAGGCGTTATTCCGCAACTGGTTCACCCATGTGGGCCGCATCACTCACCTTACAATCCTCTTGTTGCTGCATCGCCCATCCCTCCTCATGCCTGGTTCCCACCATCCCCTCTCCTTCCCCCCCCCTTCCCCTTCTTCCCTTCAGGCCAGGATGTGTTATTCCGCAACTGGTTCACCCATGTGGGCCACATCCCTCCCCTTACAAGCCTCCTGTTGCTCCCTCGCCCATGTCTCCCCGTGCCTGATTTTCCACCATCGGCCCCCCCGCACATTCAGGCCAGGAGGCGTTATTCCGCAACTGGTACACCCACGTGGGCTGCATGCATCCCTGATTTTCCACCATCCCCCTTTCGTTCCCCCCCCCTCCTCTTCTTGTTTTCAGGCCAGGAGGCGTTATTCCGCAACTGGTTCACCCATGTGGGCCGCATCCCTTCTCTCGGCAACATTGTGCTCGCTTCCGTGCCTCCTCAGGTGAGTGAGTGAGTGAGTGAGTGAGTGAGTGAGAGAGAGAGAGAGAGTGCCCTTTGCCTCAAAACTCCTCAGGTGAGTGAGAGTGGGAGTGTCCTTCGATTCCTCACACCCCTCAGGTGAATGCCGTTCCAGCCACCCAGTTCCCACTCGCCTCAAGTGAGTGTCATTGTAGTTCTCACACCCCTCAAGGTAAGTGTTGTTGCCGTTCTAATCCTCGCTCCCGTAAGGTTTTGTTCTGCTGAGTGCCATGCAATGCTAGTCTACTCTCCTCTCCTCACCCACTCCTTGCAGAAGCTAGCCAGGTGACTTTTGAGTCGACTAATAAATTCTTCGCTCCCGCAAGGTGTTGTTCTGCTGAGTGCCATGCCATGCCATGCCATGCTAGTCTAGTCTCCTCGCTCTCTCCTTGCAGAAGCACACGCCAGGGGGCCACATGATTACTCCGCCGTCTGATCTGATCATCCCCTCTTCTCCTGTCTCTTCTCAACACCCCTCAACTGAACATGCAGAAGCACACGCCAGGGGGCCACATGATTACTCCGCCGTGTGATCTGATCATCCCCTCTTCTCCTGTCTCTTCTCAACACCCCTCAACTGAACATGCAGAAGCACACGCCAGGGGGCCACATGATTACTCGATCTAGTCTCCTCGATCCGCCGAGTGGCCCGAGCCACAAGTGTGTTTTGAGAAGCCACGAGTGTATACAATGTATTTTTTAGACGTCTCAAAAATGCATTGTATAGAGGAGAGGCCAGAGCCGCGAGTGTATTTTGAGGCGCCTCAACATACACCTCGAGTGGCCCGTGCCACGAGTGCCTTTTTTTGAGGCGCCTCAAAAAGCGCCTCAACATACACCTCGAGTGGCCCGCAGCCACGTGATCACACACACGCTCCAGTGACAGCGTGTCGCCCCGAGTGGCGACTCAATAATCTCCCCTGCTCCCGTGTGTCTCTCCCCTGCTCCCGTGTGTCTCTCCCTGCTCCCGTGTGTCTCTCCCCGTGTGTCTCTCCCCTGCTCCCGTGTGTCTCTCCCCTGCTCCCGTGTGTCTCTCCCCTGCTCCCGTGTGTCTCTCCCCTGCTCCCGTGTGTCTCTCCCCTGCTCCCGTGTGTCTCTCCCCTGCTCCCGTGTGTCTCTCCCCTGCTCCCGTGTGTCTCTCCCCTGCTCCCGTGTGTCTCTCCCCTGCTCCCGTGTGTCTCTCCCCTGCTCCCGTGTGTCTCTCCCCTGCTCCCGTGTGTCTCTCCCCTGCTCCTGTGCATTCTCTCCCCTCAACTCAACTCTCAGATGAGCATGCCAGGCGGCCATGTGATCACACGCTCCAGTGACAGCGTGTCGCCCCGAGTGGCCAGAGCCACGTGCCTGCTGCTGCCGCCCCTCATCCTCGCCCGCTTGCTGGCTGCCAACGTCACTGTTGTCTACAGGTACAGTGTGCCGTACCGCTAGAAATAAAATACAGGCTAGTTTCACCTCAATGCCCCCTCATCCTCGCCCGCTTGCTGGCTGGCTGTCAACGTCACTGCTGTCTACAGGTACAGTGTGCAGTACCGCTATAAATGAAATACAGTTATAATTTCACCTCATTGCCCCCTCATCCTCGCGCGTTTGCTGGCTGCCAATGTCACTGCTGTCTATAGGTACAGTGCTCCGTGCTCCTAGGGTGCTGCTACATCAACAGGTGGAGTGAGCAGTGCTGCTAGGGTGCTACAGGTGCAGGTGCAGACTGTACGGTGAGTGGTGAGCAGTGTGCTGTTGGCATGTAGTATGTGTCACCTCATTGAGTGGTGCTGGGCCGTGACTGGTGAGTGAGTGATTAGCTTGATCAGACTGTACGGTGAGTGGTGAGCAGTGTGCTGTTGGCATGTAGTATGTGTCACCTCATTGAGTGGTCCTGGGCCGTGACTGGTGAGTGAGTGATAAGCTTGATCAGACTGTACGGTGAGTGGTGAGCAGTGTGCTGTTGGCATGTAGTATGTGTCACCTCATTGAGTGGTGCTGGGCCGTGACTGGTGAGTGAGTGATAAGCTTGAGCAGACTGTACGTTGAGTGATGATCAGTGTGCTGTTAGACATGAAAAGTCGACTCAAAGTCACCTCGCTCGGTGCAGGTGCAGTGAGCATTGAAGAGCTTAGTCCGTGTTTCAGCCACTCAAAAGTCACCTCGGTGAATGTGCCCTAAGCAGTTTTGATCAGCGCAGGTACAGGTGATCAGTGTGCTGCTAGACATGAAAAATTTATCACCTCATTCTCTTCTCACTATCACCTAGTTCTTCCCTCACTCTTCCCTAATTCTTCCCCCATTCTCCCCTCATTCTCCATCCTTCCCTGATTCTGCTGCACTTGTCGCATCGTTTCCTTATCCTTCTCTCAACCTACTCTCCCGTCACTCTCTCCGCCCTCTCTTCCCCTCACCCCCCTCCCCCTGTCCCTTCACCCTCCTTTCCTCTCTGCAACATCAACTTGCTGTCGTTGTGTGACGCCAAACCCAGTTTTGAGGCGCCTCAAAACTAGACCTCTCTGCAACATCAACTTGCTGTCGTTGTGTGACGCCCAACCCAGTTTTGAGGCGCCTCAAAACTAGACCTCTCTGCTCCATCAACTTGCTGTCGTTGTGTGACGCCCAACCCTCCTTCCCACCATCATTCTATTTTCCCAAAACTCACCCTTCACGCTTTCTTTCCCTCGCCCCCCCTCGTGCCGCCTTGCGCCCTTCCCTCCATTTGCCTCCCAGCGACATCAACTCGGTGTGGCTGCGTGACCCTCGCCGCTACTTCCCGCCATCCCATTCCCTCGTGCTGCCCTCCCTCTCCCACCAAGACCCGCCTCTGCAGCAGCAGCAGCAGCAGCAGCAGCAGCCAGACACGCCACCAGCGCAAGGGGCAGCAGAGAACAGGCAGCAGGCAGCAGCCCCTGCACCCCCCAACACCACCGCCCTCGCACCGTCCCTCCTGGGGTCCCTCTCTCCATGGCTCATGGCTCTTCGCCCCTCCCCTGCTGTGCAAGCCATGGTGCATCGGTGGGCTGTTGGGGCTTTAAGGGGATATGTGACGGCAGGTGCGGCAGCAGCAAGGGGTGGTTCAGGGGTGTTTTCTGGTCCGGAGGTTCTTAGCACGGCGCTCAATCACGCTGTGGCGGAGATGGTTCGGGGAGAGAGTCTCGTGGGAGTTGAGGAGGATGGGTTCGCTGTAGGTTCGGAAGGAGCTGTGGACGCAGGCATGGAAGCAGGTACTGAAGCAGGTACGGAAGCACGTACGGGAGCAGGTACGGGAGGAGGCACAAGAGGCACAGGAGATACAGGAGCGAGCGTGGGGGTACTTCCAGAGCAGTTATTCCCCCCTGGGTGGAGGGCGGTAGGGGACAGAGCATGGCTGGAGGCGCATAGGAGAGAGATAGTGGCTGTGCAGGTGAGCTGTCGGGAGGATGGCAGGCAGCAGGAGGTTTGTCTTCGAGACATGAAGCTGTGGCTGTAACTTGTATCATTGCTGCTGCCATGACTGTACTGAGTGCTGACAAGGCGTGACTATCGTAATGGAGTGCATGGGATCTGAGATGGTTGGTTGAAGATTCATCCTGGCTGGATTTTGTCCAATAAAGCCCCAGGGCGGAGCCATGGTGACTTTTGAGGACTCAAAATTCACGCCATGACACGGCTTGGCCATTGTAGTTGAAGAAATGGGGTCTGTCTCGATTGATAATGCTATTTAGGTTTCTTTCTTTAATAATTTTGCAATATACCTGGTAAGGTTGATTAACAATAATCATCTCTCAACAATGAAAAAGATAACCAGCAGTGCATTCATATTTCACGAGAAGTGTTACGGGTGCAATGAATCGAAGTAGCGAGAATTGCACTAAGGTGTCAAACGAGTACAAAATGTGAGCGAAGGCATGAGCGAACATTTATACGCGAAACATGCAAAACGGTAACGCGGTGCGTGCGAGCTTGCTCATGCTATGCTGGAGCGAGGCTCGGGCTAGTCCCGAAGCGTAGGCCGATACGGCCATGCCAGCAGTGCGAGGTTTGGCAAAACGGTGCGCGCGAAGCCGGCGAAGTTCCGTTAGCAGTAACGGGCGAACAATCGGCTGTTGCTGTACGCGATGTAGTCGGCTCCGTAAGGAATGCCGAGAAAATTCCTTACACTACCCCCCCCCCCTTAAGAAGCCCCCTCCGCTACGCGAGTGCGTGTATATCGCGGAATCCCCGGCTCCTCAGGTACACTTGCAGGGCAGGGTGATTTTCGATGTTGCGCAGGGGCACCCAGCTATCTTCAGTTGGCGTGCGGTCTTTCCAGCGAACGAGGAATTCAATCCTCCTGATTCCCGTGGGGTGGCGGATCCGATGGCTCAGAATTTTTTCGGGCTCGATGATCGGCTCTGATGCAGGGCGAGTCATTGATTGTGGCCGGTGACGCGGCAGTTGACTTGTGGTCGGGATGTATGGGCGAAGTAGGCTGACGTGGAACGAAGGGCTGATGTACCAGTCGGTTGGCAACAGTAGGTGCGCGGTGACGGGTGTGATCATGTGACTGATTTGGAATGGTCCACAGTAGCGCGGTCGTAATTTTGGTACGTCGGGCAGTCGCAGAGTTTGCGTGTCAAGGAGCACGTAATCTCCAGATTGGTACGTGACAGGACGGCGGTGGCGATCAGCGTTGCGCTTAGCGATGACGTTGGCCTTTTTTATTGCTTCGGCGGCTCTGGCTCGGGCAGCTTGCAGGACTTCGGCGAATTGTTGTGCACGTGGCGTTGGGTTGTCCGGACTCGGCGTCATGGGCACTGTGGGGTTTTACCCATAGTTCAGGTAGAACGGGGACTGCTGCGTCGTGGCTGATGTGGCGTTGTTGTACGCGAACTCGATCAGCGGCAGCTGCTGCTCCCAGGTCGTGGGGTCGTCGCACGTGGCACGAATCAACTGCTCCATTGTCTGTCCGCTCCGTTTGGCCGTCGGTCTCGGGGTGGTACGACGAACTGAACTGTAGCCTGGTCCCGAACTGCTCCCAGAGGTTCTTCCAGAAGTTGCTGGTAAACTTCGTGTCCCTGTCGCTGATAATTGCTGCTGGTATCCCGTGCAGGCGAACAACGGCTGCGATGAACAGGCGAGCGGTCTCCTCGGCTGAGATCGACTTTCTGCACGCAGCGAAGTGTGCCATCTTCGTCAGCCTATCCACGACGACCATCACCGCGTCGTTACCCCCAGGGTTCGAAGGTAACCCTGTGACGAAGTCCATGGTTACTTGCTGCCAGGCGCGTTCGGGCGGTGGGATCGGCTGCAATTGACCCGCCTTCCGCTTCCTTGAACTCTTCATCACCTGACACGTCAGGCACGAGCCCACGTGCTGCTGTACGTCGGTCAACAGCTCCGGCCAGTAATAATACCGCTGCAGTTGCGGTCGCGTTTTTTCTACCCCGAAATGTCCCGAGGTAATCCCGTCGTGTGCCTCCTGTAGTAGCAGCTCCCTCAGTAGTGAGTACGCGGGTACCCAAATGCGGTTGGTGCCTGTTTTTACGTAATAGACTCCTTTTGCTTCTGCCAGTTGCTGTGAATTTCCGGTCGTGAAGAATGGGTCGGTGCGGTATCCGTGGGTGAATAGGCCAGTTAAAAGCGGGTTGGTCTGGGCGAGTAGGATGGCGTGGAGTTGGGCGGTGGGGCGGGTGAGAGCGTCGGCGATGTTGGATGCGCCTTTTTTGTACGTAACGGTGTAGTGAAAATTGGACTCCAGATAGTCTAACCAGCAAATCTGTCGTGGGTTGAGGTTCGGTTGGGCGCGAAGGTACTGTAGCGAGCGGTGGTCTGTCCGTACTGTCACGTCGGCGCCAGTCAGGTAACATCGCCAAACTTTGAATGCGTGCACGATCGCTAGCATCTCGCGGTCGTGTATCGGGTAGTTACGTTCGGGCGGGTGTAGTTTGCGGGACTCGTACGCGATTGGCTGGAGGCCGTTCCCGAAGTCCTGCAACAGTACTGCTCCCACAGCGATGTCACTTGCGTCGGTGACGAGCTCGAACGGACGGTGGGGATCTGCAATGTGAAGGACGGGCGGGGAGCACAAAATATTTTTGAGGGCCGAGAAGGCAGCTTGCTCTTTCTCCCCCCACGTGTACTCAATCCCCTTCCTCAGCAGGTCGATCAACGGGGCAGTCAGCTTCGCCATGTCGGGGACGAACCGGCGCACGTAGTTGACGAACCCCAGGAAACTCTGCAACTCGGTCAAGTTGGTCGGCGCGTGCCAAGCCTGAATCGTCGCAATTTTCTTCGGGTCTATTTCCACTCCTGCAGCTGAAATAACATGTCCCAAAAACTCCAGGCGGTCCTGTAAAAACTCACACTTAGATGCTTTGGTCAGTAGGCGGTTCTCACTCAGGATTTTAAAAACTGCTTCGATGTCTTGTAAGTGCTGTGCTCTGTCAGGGCTGTAAATCAGTATGTCGTCCAGATAAACGATGACGCACGTATCTAAAAGTGGGCGGAATGCTTCGTTCATGGTCATTTGGAAAGTGGCGGGGGCGTTGGTCAGTCCGAATGGCATGACGGTGTATTCGAAGGATCCGTAGCGTGTTCGGAATGCGGTTTTAGGGCAGTCGGGTGGGTTGACGCGGATTTGGTGGTAGCCTCCTCGGAGGTCGATTTTCGAGAAAACCCGGGCTGTGCGCAGTTGGTCGATCAGTTCGTCGGCTCGTGGGATGGGGTAACGGGATTTGATGGTAACCCTGTTCAGTGCCCTGTAGTCGATACACATGCGAAACCCCCCGTCCTTTTTCGGTGTGAACAGTATGGGTGCGGCGAAGGGCGACGAACTAGGGCGAATGAATTCCTTTTCGAGCAGGTAATCGAGCTGCTTCCTCAGTTCGTCTAGTTCGGGTTGGGTCAGTCGGAACTGTCGCTGTACTGTTGGCTGTGCCCCCGGTTCCAGTTCTATCCTGTGATCGTGCGGTCGCTGAGGTGGCAGTCCCGTCGGCAGGTCGTCCGGGAAAATGTCACTGTACTGTTTTAACAGTGCCGCCAGGTCACTCGGTACGTCGGTCAGCAGTTTCTGTAAATCGCCCCCCTTGTCTGCTGCCTCGGCTTCCCGAATGTCAACCGCGTACACGTCGGCTCCAGCCGCAACAGCGCGTTTCATCGTGATCGCATTGACACGCACCGACGAAGACTCAGGCGAGCCCCAGCGAGGTAAGGCGATGTGGTTACCGTTTACTCGCACGGTGCAGTCGCCCGTCGTCCAGTCAATTCGCGGATTGTGTCGTCGCAGCCAATCACGCCCGAGTAAAATGTCGGTTCCGTCGAGGGTCGTTGCGAGCATTTCCTGACTAAACGTGAAGTTACCCCCGCATCGAATCCGAACTCGGTCTACGCGTTCCCGTATTGCCAGCGGCGTGCCGTCTACCAGTCGTGCGTCGATCTCAGGTAAGCATCTGTCCAGTGGCAGTCGCAGTTTCCGTGCTGTAGCAGTGTTAATGAGGCTGTGGCTGGCTCCCCCGTCTACGAAGATTTTAACTAAGTCCGTCCCAATTTTCCCACTGAGCAGTATAGGGCTGTCTACCGTGGTACCCTCCTTATTCGGCCGGGTGTGGTCGATTGCGTGAACCGGCACAATCACTCGGTGAGGGTCGGTTGGGTCGGGCGAGCGGCGTGACCTGTCAGTAGAGGGCCCGTCTGCTACTGACTTCCAGCGTTTCCCTGCTGCTTGGTCTGTGTCTGCTGCTCAGCTTCCCCCTTTCCCTTAGCGTTTTCCGGGCATTCGCTCTTGCGATGTCCCGGCCGATTGCACGCAAAGCAGCGCCCTTTGAACGGTGCGGCAGCGGCATTTGCGGCGACGGCGCGTATCGTGGCGCTTTCGTTCGTCCCACGAGGCCGATGTCCCCAGTTGTTGTTTCCGTAGGACCCCGGTCTCGGTCGGCGAAAGAAGTCGAGCTTCTCCGCCATAGCGAGAATTTCCTGAAACTCAGTGACGCCGCGAAGCTGGATTTCCTGAGCGATGTCCTGCTTCAGGCCGCCGATGTAGCGGTCGATGCGTTCGCTCTCATGCATGTAGCCCACCTGCTCGCATAGCGCCAGAAATCCGCTCGTGTAATCCTGGACGGAACCGAGTTGGCGCCAAGTGCGGAGCTTCTGTCGCGCCGAGATCGAGGCCGCGATTGGCTCAAATCGAGCGCGCAGACCTGCGCACCACGCGTCCCACGTGCGATACTGGGGCACCTCCACGAAATACGACGGCGCCCAGGGTCCGGTTTGTCCTTCCCGTGTCGGTAGTGTCGCGTAGTCGGTCGGCTTCGTGACGATGACGCGCCACCAGTCCATGGCGGGTCCTCGCAGCAACGACACGGCGTATCGAATCTTCGCCGAGTCCTCCGAGACGTAGTTGGCGTCGAAGAAGACATTCATTGTGAACAACCACGCCTGAACGGTAGGACCACCCCGTTGACTCGGGTCAAAGCATGGCGGGCGCTGCGGCTTCAGCGGCATCGGTGACGGCAGTCCCGAATCGTGGGTTGGTGCCGAAATCGTGACGCGAGGCTGACTTGGGGCCGCATGCGTCGCTCTGGGGTGTGTCGTGCCGTGGTCGTCTTCTCCGTCGGGGCGGACGACGCCATCACTGGCCGCGCTCGCGGGTTGCCCCACACTCCCGTGTTGTGATGTTGAGGGTGCGGGTTGAATCGGAGTGCCAGGTGCTTGAGATTGTGCTCTCATGAGGTCATTTTGCAGTGATGAGCGTTCTGCCGTTAATGCCGCGATTTCCTCGAAACTTTCGCGCAGCTGTCGCAGCAGATCGTTCAAACGCTCCTGCGTGAGGGTGGTGACGTCGATATTCTCAGCCATGGCGAAGGGCGTCGGCTCGTCTTAGTCTAGGCGCAGTCGTGGCTGCACGCGTTTACGAGAGAACGCGAGGACAGCGGCTCCTAGGGGCTAAGGTGCGTGAGTCCCTTCGAGTGAAAAATCAAAAGTTGATTTCCTGGTGTGCGGAGATGCGCGGTCCGAAAGAAAGGGGCTCTGATAACCAAGTGTTACGGGTGCAATGAATCGAAGTAGCGAGAATTGCACTAAGGTGTCAAACGAGTACAAAATGTGAGCGAAGGCATGAGCGAACATTTATACGCGAAACATGCAAAACGGTAACGCGGTGCGTGCGAGCTTGCTAATGCTATGCTGGAGCGAGGCTCGGGCTAGTCCCGAAGCGTAGGCCGATACGGCCATGCCAGCAGTGCGAGGTTTGGCAAAACGGTGCGCGCGAAGTCGGCGAAGTTCCGTTAGCAGTAACGGGCGAACAATCGGCTGTTGCTGTACGCGATGTAGTCGGCTCCGTAAGGAATGCCGAGAAAATTCCTTCCAAGAAGGCACGAATCGTCGCTAGCCGTTACCATTCTGCGAGATACGGCAACAAGAGTGATTGGCGAAACAACAGAGCTCCTAGCACCATAACTGGAGTTTCAGGTCGCTTTGGTTTCATCTTCTCGTTTTCGGCAACCCCGATTGGCTTGCGACTGTTTTTGTGTCAAAACACAAGCGGGAATACTCGCATCGCAGGACGACCCTCAACATTGAAGCAGCTTCTAGATTGCTGAGATGTGCGGCGGCACCCATTGGGCGTTGGGCTTCCGATATCCGTTGGATTGATCGAAACCACATAATTAGAGTGACCCGACGTAGCTATGATTGGTCTATAAACTTGCAGATGTGTGGCACAGATTCGTTTCCATTCGTCTTCCGTTCGTCTTCCATTTTTTCATTCGTGTTCCATTCTTTCCTTGCTGAGTGCGAATCCAACAGCAGCTCGAAGGTTGGTCGTCACTCCAAATCAACCACCTTCCAGTACAAGAACATTAGTACAGGTTTGCATTGTACCGAACCGTACTAATGCAAACCTGCCGTCTTTTGGGGAGGTTGTGCCCGATGTACAGTGCTTGTGTTCAGCTTCCTGCTGCGCGATTATCGTACGGTGATAAAAGACAGCAACGTATTGGCGCAATAGAACATCACCGAGACCCTTCCGCCTGGACAGCTAATGACTGTCCACTTTTGCCTCTTGCCAACAGTTAGCTCGAATTTGTCGCAAGAGTCAAATTTCATTGACCGTCCTTCTGAGTCGTAGTTTCGTATGAACACCAATGCGTGCGTCGGGATGCAAAAAAATATTCTACGAGTCGTTGGGATCGACCTGTCAAGTATTTGACCGGTGCTTCTACTTCTGCCAGTTTATTAGGTTACGGGAGGTCGGCGACTGTTCAGCGCACGTCAGATTCGTCAAACAGGCCACGACAGGTTTGGGTCGGGCCGGTGAAGTCTTGTGTTTTGTCCAAATGCCGGGGAGGGCGCGCCACGTCATCAGATTATTCCCTTCCGAAGAATTGAGCCCAAAACGAATGCTTAGCGTTCCTCCGATAATCGAATAGAAGCATCCTGGGTATTGTACACATCGACGAGTCATGGCTCAAGCTCAAGCCGGGCTAGTGCATATCTTCCGCGCGGCGGTAGGACGGTATCGCCAATACAGTACAGTACAGTACAGTATCGTTCACGAATGCCGTCAAGGACGGCTACAGAAACGTGAACAGTGCTAAGATTCCAAGTGATGTTCTTGGGGAATCCGAAACTGCCGCCTTCCAAGTTTCTTGGAGCTTGACGGTCGGCGTGAACTTGACGTCTGAACTGTTTGGATTGCGTCATGCCGCGTGCTGCTCTAACATTGGATAAAACCGATTCGCAAGGGCCCCGGGGATGCCTGCCATTGGTCACTGCGTGCAGCGCTACTATGGCATCCGCAAAGGGTGGGCGGAAGGGCGGAGTTCCAACCGCGGCATTCGGCAGCCTAGGAGGCATCTGGGGCTGAGCGGCGTACTCTCTGCCAGCCTAGGAGGCGGGACTGAGCGTGGCGGTGGAAGTATTTTAGCGATGGGACTAAACCCATCATCATTCCAGTCCGCAAATCACCCCTTTCCACCCTTTCCTGCTTGACCGATTTCAACCGTTACGCACCTCCTCAAGGACCTCTCCCCGGGCTGCGTTTTTTCGCGGGTTCTCGCTTTCGAAAATCCAGAAAGACCAGCCATGGCTGCGTGCGACGTTGCTGCGATGCAACGCTCTGGCCTCAGGCTTGTGCTCGCTGCTGCGCTGGCTGCTCTCATACTCTCAGGTATGCTCATTCTCTCACCGGCCTGGCGAACAGCTATCTGCGTTTTTTTTTTTTTTTTTTTTTTTTTTTTTCTGAAAATTCACAGAATAGCACACATTGCTGCACGAACATGCATGTAAGCACACAGTGTCTGCATAGTTCCTCGTAAGCCTTAACATCGCCAGCTCTCCTCGCCCTTCCATCTTGACCATCTCATCCACCTCCTCCACCCCTTACCACTCCTTCCGACCCCTTTCCCCTGTCTTCCCTGGTCGGTGTCTCCCAGCGTGTACGCCCAGGGCCGCGGAGGCCCTGCGCCTGGCATGCACGGATCGCAGCTGCGGCGCCAACGCGAGGTGCCTCAAGAGCCAAGCAGGCTGGGCGGACTGCGTGTGACTTCTGACTCGACTCGAAACCCCCCCCCCCCCCCCCCCCCCCCCAACCCTCCCCCTCTCTTCCCCCTTCCCTCCGCTCTCTCAACCAGCGTGTGCGCCCAGGGCGGCGGAAGCCCTGCGCCTGGCATGCACGGACCGCAGCTGCGGCGCCAACGCGAGGTGCCTCAAGAGCGTGGCGGGCTGGGCGGACTGCGTCTGCGACAGGGGCTTTAAGCTGCTGCCCAACGCCTCCTGTGCGCGTGAGTGCCTCACCTTAGAGATTTCTCAAAAGGTACTGCGTGTGCGACAGGACAGAGGCTTCAAGCTGCTGCCTAACGCGTCCTGCGCGCGTGAGTGCACAGGACTGAATGTCGCCCTTGTTTCCTTGCATGCTTGACACACGTGCCATTGCTGCCTCTCGTTTCAAACTTTCCCACTCCAACAAATTTTTTTTCTCCTAATCTCCTGTGCGTACTCTTCTGTCCTCCCTCTCGTGCTGCTGTGTGAACCTGGCAGAGGTGTGCACGAGTGCGGACTGTGGGGAGAACGGGTACTGTGAGGAGGAGCAGGAGGGGGGGCGCACCACCTGTCGCTGCAACACTGGCTTCACCAAGACCGCGGACGGCTGTGTTGGTCAGTGCTGCTTGCTATCCCGTGTTGTCCTGATGAGTCACGCTGTGATGGCAACCTGTTACTGCTGCTGATGTGTCATGTGCTGCCGCTGCCATGTGTGCTTCGCATTCACTGTTGCTGTTGCGGTTTTTCTGCTCCCGCCGCTCCTCTCTCTCCTGGCAGACACGTGTGTGCTCCTGGAGTGCGGTGAGAACGGCCAGTGCGTTAAGGATGAGGAGGGGGTGGCGTCGTGTGTGTGTGACGCTGGCTTCACCCTGCGAGACGATGGCAAGTCGTGCGCTGGTAAGGCTGCTCTGCGCTGCTATTTTTGAGGCGCCTCAAAGCAAGGCTTCTGCTCTGCTGTGTTTTGAGACGTCTCAAAACCCTTCTTCAATCTTGAGGCGCCTCGAAGCAAGGCTTCTGCTGTGCTGTGCTGCCATGAGTTGGGATCTGGGAACTCTTAGGAGCCAAACTGCGTGTGTGACGCTGGCTCCACCCTGCGAGATGATGTCAAGTCGTGCGCTGGTAAGGCTGCTCTGCGCTGCTATGCTTCTTTTCTTTCCCTCTCTCTCCCCATCTCCCTCACTCACTCTCTCTCTCACCATTCCCTCTTGACCTCCGCCTCCCTGCCTCCTATCGTTTCTGCTAACATTTCAAATATCTGTGCATGTATGCCTGCACATCCCTTCACATACACGCTTCCAACTTGACCTGCACTCCCTGCCCCCCATTGTGTCTCGCAGAGAATGCGCCCAGGGCTTCAGCTGTCGACCTTTGAGTCGACTCAGAAGTCATCTTGGCCTCCCTTGCCCCCAATCATGTCTCGCAGAGAATGCGCCCAGGGCTTCAGCCGTCGACCTTTGAGTCGACTCAGAAGTCATCTTGGCCTCCCTTGCCCCCAATCATGTCTCGCAGAGAATGCACCCAGGGCTCCACCCGTCGTCCTGCCACCTGCTGCCAGCAACCGCCGCTGCCCACGGGGCCAAGAGAAGGACGCCGAGGGCAACTGCGTTGGTGGGTGCTAGTGCTGTCGGAGTGATTGGATTCGCATGCAGAATTGCTCCACTCCACTCCGCCGCAGGCTTATCATGGCGTTATTTTGGTATCTGCATTTCACCTCACAGCTTCAGCACATGCGTTATGGTTTCTGGCCGATTGTGCTGTGTCTACCCCACGTGTCTACCCCACGTGCCTGCCCCCACGTGTGTGAGTGCAGACGTGTGCACGGTACGCAACTGCGGCCCCAACTCGAGGTGCCTGAAGAACGAGGCAGGCTGGGCCAACTGCGTGTGCGAAAGGGGCCACAAGCTGCTGCCCAATGCGTCCTGCGCGCGTGAGCTCACCTTCCCTTGCTTTGAGACGTCTCAAACCTAACCTTCTCTCGCCCCTGCGTGTGTGAGAGGGGCCTCAAGCTGCTGCCCAACGCATCTTGCACGCGTGAGTGCCGTCACCCACCCTTTTGAGTAGACTTAAAGAGGCAGGCTGGGGCACCTGTGTGTGCGAAAGGGGCCACAAGCTGCTGCCCAATGCATCCTGCACGCGTGAGCTCACCTTCCCTTGCTTTGAGACGTCTCAAAGCAAACCTTATAACACCCGATTGTGTGTGTGTGAAAGACGCCTCAAGCTGCTGCCCAATGCATCCTGCATGCGTGAGTGCCTGCACCCACCCTTGCTGCGTCTCATGTCCACTGAATCCCGCGCCCTGAGTCCTCCTCTTCAGTGCGTAGCACCCGTGCAATCGCTGCCTCTCGTTATGACCTTTCCAGTTGCTCTCAAAGGCTTTTCAGGCACGCCATGCAGAGCAGGCAGGCAGGCAGGCAGGGCACTCCGCCCATTCTTTCCACTTCCCTTCCATGCTTGTTGGCAGTAGGCAGTCCTGCAGTTGCTGCCTCTCGTTAAGACCTTCGGGCATGCATGCAGGCAGGCAGGGCACTCCGCCCATTCTTTCCACCTCCTCTCTCTCCCATGCGTTCTCACTCTATCATTTCTTCTTCCCGGCCATATGCGTGTTCTTTCCTCTGTGGACCCAACAGACTCGTGTGCGAGAAGGGACTGTGGGGAGAACGCCTGCTGCGAGAAGGAGAAGGAGCGACTTTTGTTTGAGGTGCCCCAAAAGCCCTCACTCTCTTGTTGCTGCTCCCGGGCCGTATGTGCCTTCTCTCATGCTGTGCCCCCGACAGACTCGTGTGCGATAAGGGACTGTGGGGAGAACGCCTACTGTGAGAAGGAGCAGGAGCTGGCTGTGTGTCACTGCAACTGGGGCTACGCCATGACCGACACCGGCTGTGTTGGTCAGTGCCCTGCTGTGTTGGTCAGTGCTACTTATCCCATGTTGTATTTGTGAGGCGCCTCAAAAGGAGTAGGATCTGGCCGTGTGTCACTGCAACTGGGGCTACGCCGTGACCGACGCCGGCTGTGTTGGTCAGTGCTGCTTGCAATGTGTGACGACTGTGCTTCTGTGGTTTTGTGCCGCATGTGTCCGTGGTTTTTCTAGTCGACTCAGAACATTGCAACTGGGGTGGGACTAAGGCGTGACCAACATCGGCTGTCTATGTTTCTGTCATTTGCTGCTGGATGATTTGTAGCATTGTGTGTCTATATCTGCCGAGTCGACGCTCTGTGTGTGCTGCAGAATGATGGCATAACGTGTACACCTAAGGCTGTTGTGTTGTGTGCTATGCTACCTAAACCTGTGTGTTGTACTGATACAGTGCGCTTCCAGATTCATTTGCGTGTGTATGTGTGTGTGTGTGTGTGTGTGTGTGTGTGTGTGTGTGTGTGTGTCCGTGTGTGTGTCTGTGTGTGTGTGTCTGTGTGTGTGTGTGTGAGAGAGAGTGTGTGTGTTTTCGTTTCCTTTCCTTAACCCTTTTCATTTATGGTTCTCATGCTCCTCCCTCCCCTGGCAGACACGTGCATACTGCAAGCATGTGGTGAGAACGGCCGCTGTGTGAAGGACGAGGCGGGGATGGCGTCTTGTGTGTGTGACGTTGGTTTCACGCTCATGGGTGATGGCAGGACATGCACTGGTAAGAAGGCTGTGTGTTGATCTGTTTGGAGTCGACTCAAGAGTGTGTTCTGAGCCAATTTCAAAGTGTGTTTTGAGTCCACTCAAAACACGTCTTGTGTGTGTGACGTTGGTTTCACACTCATGGGTGATGGCAGGACGTGCACGGGTAAGGATGCTGTGTGTTGATGTTTGCTCCCTCTACCTCTTTCCTGCTCCCTCTACCTCTTCCTCTCTCGCCCGTGCTCTGCCCTTTCTCTCTTGTCCTCTTCTTCTTTCTCCCTTCTCATGCTCTCTCTTTCTCGTCCTTCTTCCCTCAAGCCGGCATGTCGGCGTCCTCTCTGCTGCATTCTCAGGACCTCCACCTAGCTTTCTCCTTCGCCCCACGCTCATTCATTCCCCCCGAACCCTCTCCCCCGCAACCCCCTCCCCTCCAGATAATTGCATCCTTAAGAGGTGCCAGGCGCTCACGTCGGATTGTATGAAGTATGAGGATGGCACAGCGTACTGTGTGTGCAAGCCAGGCTACACACTGCTCTATGGCACCTGTGTTGGTATGTAGTTCTGTTCTGGAACCCTTGGATGGATTACAACCTCACCTCCCCTCCCCTCCACACCATCTCCCCTGCACCCCCTCTCACTCCATCCTCGCTTCCTCCTTTGCATCTTTGCCCACACACACTACTATGATTGCCTGCTCTAGTTTATGTTCCCCCCTCCCCCCGCTCCCCCATATTTCCGTGCTGTTACATGCCTCTCTATCACACTTTGCATTGTGCTCATTGTGCTGTCGTATGCTTTGTTGCATGCTGCCATTTATTCTAAAACTTGCTGTCCCCTTCTCCCCTTTCTGCCCAGCCCAGTCCAAGCACTAGCTTCTCCTTTCTACTCTACCTGCTCTCCCACCGCACTCCAGATTTCACATCATTTCTCCACCCTGCTGCACTCACCATAGCCTGCCACATGTGGCAGCTGTTCGTCCCTAGCCGCACGCACTCTAGTCTCGTCCACCAGAAAAGCTCCTTACTGCGGCTGCCCTTCTGGCCCCTTCAACTCTACCCACTCTCCTATCGCCCTCACATATTTTTTCTTTTGCACTCTGCTTCCCCACCCTGCACTCACCAGGGCCGGCCACGTGTGGCAACTGCCCGTCCCTGGCCACATGCACGCTGGTCTCCTCCACCAGAAAGGCTCCTTACTGCGTCTGCCCTGCTGGCTTTGGCATGACCGCCACTGGTTGCGTCCGTGGTAAGTCACGTGGAATAAGTCACGTGGAATAAGTCACGTCAAGTCAGTCACGTTGTAGGTCATGTGTGACGTACGAACCTGTTCCGCCTGAACCCATACCCCATGTGTATGGGTTTTTCAGGCGCCCTTCCAACCGTGTAGGTTTAGCCCGGTTAATTTATCGATGGTGCATACGAACCTGTTCCGCCTGAACCCATACCCCATGTGTCTTTCAGGCGCCCTTCCAACCGTGTCCTCTGCGAGTCTCACCTTCTACAACCAGCCGGGGCTTACCTTGACGCCCTCCACCTACACCTTGCGCGTGAGGTACTCCAGATGCACCAACCTGCCTTCGACAATCGGTCTCAACGTGCGGTCATACTGGCGGGTGGACCGGGCACCGGGAGGGGCGGGGCACTGCCAGTTTGTCAACGCGTATCGCTTTGCCAACTGCGTTACGCAGGTGGCTCAGCTGCCTGCCCTCTCACTCTCCGGCATCGCTGCAGCAAGTGTCTCGTAAGTCTTTGCATCTGTTCGTTACTCCCAATCTCATGCTTTCCATGCATTTGTCTCATTCCTGCTCTGTCAAGAACATCATTGTTGATTCTAGAAGCAACTCTGTCTCATGCACACACACTTCTCATGTGTGCTCTCACGTTTCCCTGCATCTATCCGTTTCTTTCTTTGTGTGCCTCTCAACAGACTCACATCAGCTGACATGCTGTCTTTCATGTGTGTCCGCTAGTCACTATGGTCGTAGAATGCTTATATGGAGACCAGCAAAGCAAGCAACCCAGTACTCCATATGAAGTGATGCTTTTTCTGAAGTAAAAATGGCAGCTGCTTAAGTCTGCAGTTGAAGTTGATACCACCAAGAAAGTACTGCCATGAGATTTGTCTTTTGTGCCTAGTTTGTTCTACCTCTCTTCTCCACCCACCTATCGCTTTTGTTTTTCTCCCTTCTCTCCCTTCTCACCCCATTCTAATAGCAACTCTTGAGTGTGAGATTGTGTGTGTGCGTCTGTGTGCTTCGGTGTTTGTGTTTGTGCGTGAGGAGTGTACACATAGTTACCAATATCAGCTTGCATGTGTTCATTAAGAATTGTGCATACATAATCATACTTCTAGTCAAAGTATACGTGAGAATGTTTGAACGTCATGTGAATTTAAAGCCCGCGTCCTGAATTGCGCACCGCGAGGGTCAAGTTTTAAAACTTGACGAAGTTGAGTGTCCAAGCTTTTGCAAGTCACGCACCTGCGGATTCACTCACCAGGGGGAAAACTGAGGGTTGGCTGAATCTCGCGAAAAAAACGAGCCTAGACGAAATTGCGAACTCTCGCCAAAGCCTACACCAGAAAAACTCTCTCTGGTCAACTTCTAAAAGCATGAACAACTTGGGCCGCCGGCTTTAACGTCCTTACGGGAGTAAGCAAGTATCCGGATGTCGGAAGCGAATTTTTCCGTATCGCCCCGGATATAGGCGCCGTCCGATTAAAGGCGCCGGCGCTTCTATCTGGAGCATGGCGCTTATGGCCGGAATTCGATTATAAGCGCCCCCCCTGAAAATGCTTTACTTATTATAAGCGCACGCCTAAATTTATTTTTCATTCCTGATTAAAACGGTAACGAACTTCATATTTCTAGCGAGTCACATCACATTTTCACTTTGTTTGACTTTCGCGGACCTCACTGGTTGCGCGTCCAGTCAGTATGAGCTGGCACGCGGGCAAAATGACGCGCCAAAGCTCAGTGCACCGTCAGAAATTCGCCCTCGCGCGATTCTGATTCTGGACGCTGTAAAGTTTTAATTCGGTTCAACTTACGAGACTGAACTGTACATGTTGGTGCGTTTGAATTGTATTTCTGTATTTGTCTTTATATAAGCGCCGGCGCTTATGGCCATTATTCAATTACAAGCGCCACCCTTAAAAAAATCGATTTTATTATAAGCGCCATGGCGCTTATATCCGGGGTGATACGGTACATCCCTCGTTGCGTACAAACCAGACGAAAATGTCGGAAGCGAATTTTTCCGAAGAACGGAACCTTAGCTGCTGCGAGAGTAGTTCCCAAGAACCATAGTTGCGGGACTGAACTTGGAGTGGCGATAGCTTTCGTCAAGTCGGACAGAGCAGGTACCAGGGTCCGTCGCAGTCGTGTTCGCCCGCCGCTGTGAGCGGCGTTTTCAGTCTTCATGAGCGAATCACATTGACGTAACTGAACGGAGACATTCTCGAGCAGCCTCGAGCTCATATCACTGCAGCAAGCCTGTTCCCTTTTAGATCGCCTTCCTGGGCTGTCCCAACTTCGAACTCGGGACAGCAAAAAGTGCACTTCGCACGTGCAAGAGATCAGGCAGGGTGATGAGGTGGAGGGGAAACGAATCTGGACGTCGCATATGTTCAGAGGCTCCTAATGTGCGAACACCCCACATGATCGGACGGTTGGGTCTGATCGACTGGAATTGAGATGAGATCGCAGATCGTAAATGGAGTCGTACAGGCAGTTTTGATTGCACACAGGAGGTAGGTGAGCTATGTGAAAACTGCCAAGTAGGACCCAGATATTTGCACTCCTGTCCCAACGTCGTAGGAAGGCGATCTCAGTCAACCACCTCAAGAATTGTCATTGAGGAATGGATGATGCATTGATGTTGGTTGGGGTACATATAGAAAACCCTAACTACTGTACCCCCTAAGACAAACCTCACTACAGGCTACAACATTCGTCACACCCCCATAACCTAAGTGAGGGGTGTCTAGCAAAATCAAAAGTGTACGGTCACAAGACCAGTCCAAAGAAACAAAGCTCAGGGTGGATCACAGCGTCACCACACTCTCTGAGCACAAGCAACAGTGGCCGCAAGGCCAGTCCAAGAGATCACAAGTATGTATAGTAAGAGTACAAGCAAAGTAGACAGTAAACTCAAGCCTACACACGACTAGAACCTGTGTCAACAAGGCCTAACTGCACACAACACCTCTGGTGGTCACAAGGAGGAAGCGCCTTGGTGAAGACGTCTGCAGTGTTGGCTTCGGACTCCACAAACTCGTAGAGAGCTTGTCCACATCTCTGCAACTCTCGCAGAAGAAAGTACCTGACGTGAATGTGCTTCACTCTGCTCTCCAGTCGCGGCTCACGACAGAGGAGAATCGACGCCTTGTTGTCATTGAACAATGTCGGTGTAGAGCTCGGCCGCTCACCAAGGTCGGCGAGCAAGAAAGTCAACCAACGCAGCTCCTGTGCCGCCATGGCACCAGCGTAGATCTCAGCCTCAGCTGTAGAGGTCGAGACAGAAGAGGAGCGCGTGGAACGCCAGGAAACAGCTCCAGAACCCAGACCGAAACAGTACCCCTGAGTAGACCTGCGAGTCTCAGCGTCGTTAGCGTAAGAGGAGTCACAGTGTCCAGTGAGTACGACAGACTGCTGCCCTCCAAGAACTAGCCCCACGCCTGATGTAGTCGCTAGGTACTTCGCCACCCTCACAGCTGCCGTCCAGTGAACAGGACGGTGTCTCCCTGGTGCAACAAAGCGCGCAAGGATGCTGAAAGGGAAGGCGAGGTCCGGGCGAGTACAAGTCATCAGGTACATGAGGCAACCCACAAGCTCTGCGTAGGGACCACTAGGCTCAAACGGCTCGTCAGGAAAAGGACCAGTGAGTCTGTGGTCAACAGCGAGAGGTGTGCGCTGTACTGTGGAGTGCTGAAGCCCGAACCGCTGAAGGACCTGCTGCACCATGTGTGACTGTGAGAGTGTAATGGTGCGAGCGGCTCTGTCCCTGGTGATCTGCAGGCCAAGGTAGTGGCGCAACTCACCAAGGTCAGTGCACGTGTGTCTCTTCTGCAGTTCGGAATTCACGTCTGCCAAAGCAACCCTGTCAGGAGTGGCGAAAACGAGGTCGTCGACGTAGACCAGAACAAAGAACGGTGTGGAACCACGACGAACGAACAGCGACGGGTCAGCAGAAGACGGCTGGAACCCAAGGTCAGAGAGGGTAGAACACAGAGTGTCGTGCCACTTACGAGGGGCCTGGCGAAGACCGTAGACAGGTCGCCTCAGCCTCCACTGGGTCCTAGGAGGGAAGGTGATAGTGAAGGCAGAGGGACGACGCAGCCAGACCTCTTCGTGTAGGCTGCCCTGAAGCAAAGCAGTGGAGAAGTCGAGAGAGTGTAACTCGTAGTCTCTCCGTGCTGCTACGTGTAGTAACACCCGAAAAGTGGTCATCTTCGGGGTAGGCGCGAAGGTCTGAAAGAAGTCAACTCCCTCGCGCTGACTGAAACCTCTAGCCACGTAGCGTGCCTTGAAGACCGGGGGAGATCCCGGTGGCCGCTTCACCCTGTAGATCCACATGCCATCGACTATGTTCGCCCCAGGGGGGGGAACCTCATCGGCATAGGTGCCTGTGGATCTGTAGGAGGCCATCTCTGCGTCCATGGCAGCTCTCCACTGAGAGGCCCAAGGCCCTGACACTGCCTCAGCGTAAGTGCGAGGAGTCGGAATGTCAAGGGCGTCGGGGTCACCCTCAGGGGCGAGAAGCATGGCACAGAGATGAGGGGAAGCGGCTGCCAGGAACTCTAGCTCGAACTGCCTGTCCTCTAGGGCGTCACAGCCAAGGGCAGACACACCCCCAACGGCCAGAGGACTGGTAGGAGGAGAAGCCACAAGAGTGGTGGCGTAGTCAAGGCGACGAGTAGAGGCAAAGTCAGTGACTACGGCAGTAAGAGCGGACACAGAGGACACAGAGGCACGAGGGTGAGTAACAAGAGAGGCGAGAACACGAGAGAGAACAGGACGGTACGTGCGGTAGTAGTCACTGACAGGAGTAGGGAGCGACGCAGTGAGGGCGGACTCAGGAGGAGACGGAAGCACAGACGGAGACGGACGAGGTGGATTAGAACGAAGTAAGGCAGCAGGAAGGTCAGTGAAGGGAACAGGAGATGAGGGGCGAGCACGAGGAGAGCGACGAGAGGGCCAAGTCTGAGAAGGACTCGGGGACAACGAAGACTGAGAACGAGGGAAAACAGCGGGAGAGGGGTCAGGAGGATGAAGCGGAGGACCAGAGACGGGAGGAGAGGGGGAGGAGGAAGGAGAGCGAGAGGGAAGACCAAGGGTTCGAAGATCCGAGACAGGAGAAGGAGGCGACTACTACTGCTGCTGCTGCTGTGGCTCCTGCTGCTGCACCTGCTGCTGCTGCTGCTGCTGGCGCTCCTGCTCCTCGAGCCGCTGCAGCTCTCGCTCCTCTCGCTCCAACTCCAGCTGCTCCTCATGAGCACGGCGAACACGAGCCTGGAACCTGGTCGGGTAGGGGTGGGGGGTAGTAGTAGTGTCCGGGGCAGCGGCAGCCCAACAGTCCACCTCCGAAGCACCAGGCGCACCACCCCCAGAGTCAGCACCAACACCAGCTCCAGACCCAGGCGCACCAGAAACCGAAGGGGGGTCACCCTCACCCTCAGACTCCGCACGACCAGCACCAGCTCCCGGAAGAATAGAGTCCTCTGCAACCACCGGCTCAGCTCCAA